TAGATAGAGATCGGAGACCGCCGACTTATCGATCTGCGATTTCTTCGCTCTCAATAGCGACACCGGTTGTTCCATCACTAATTAATTATTAACTCGCTAATTATACGACATAATTCATCCAAAATCAATAGGCTTCTGGTCCGAGATATGATGAATGCACATGAAAAATTTGGAGCAGATTCGTGAGATATCGCGCAACATACGAAAGTGTCTAACAGACAAATACCTATCAACATACTTACCGATCGAGACCGATAAGTAAAAACAGAGAAGATTAGATAAGGGGAATTTTATTCTTGTAAAAACAACATACCTTGTATTTAGTAATAAGTATAGAATAATAATAGTTAGGGTTACCATATTTTTTTGACTTCAGGGCGGGACGCTTCCAAAAACACTACCCCTTAGCTGTGATTCTGTAACTTAACAGTTTCCGATTTCACTACATAAGCCTACATTCAAAGCCATCCCGGCTGTCTTTATTGAACATATTGTCATCAAGAGTTCATGCGCATATTCTCTGTCTAAATATCGGAATCAGTTCGAAAACTAGAAAGGAATAGACGCTAACGATACACATGATCCGAATTTAGATTTTTTTTATGTACAGCAAAGGGAATAAAGAATAATGAAATAGTCTGCCGTTTTCAAGCATTGAAATCCAAGCATGCGTTTTTTTAGATAACAATTTCAAAAAGACGTTGTTTAATGTTACATTCACGTGAACGTCTGAACAGGACCAATTAGAATTGATTTTACATGTGATACGTTCGCTAACAATGTTTGCGGGAAACAAACAAAATAACGCATTCGCCCCCAGCAAGTAGGCTAGCGTCGCTACTCAGCAACAACAGTAACGAGAACATGTCCATGTATTAATCTGGAGGGCTGAACGCCAAAGCGGGACTTTTGGCTGACTTGTCGGGACAAGAGTCAAGAGTAGACGCCAAAAAGCGGGACTGTCCCGCCTAAAGCGGGACGTAAGGTAGGGTTGCCATACCGTCCGGAAAATTCCGGAATTTAGGGTTAAATTTTGCGTCCGGGAAGAATTTAAAAAATGCTTAAATGTCCGGAATTTTACTGCATCTGCAATCGTATGTATGTATGTTTATTAGTCTCGTAGTAGTAAGCAGTATAAAAAATTGACAATATTAATATTGGAGACGGGACGCATGCACAAGACCGTACTGGCCTAAAACACAAATGTGCGACATGCACCCCTTTTGACCAAGTGCAGAACAAAAAAATACAGAACTGTTTATACAAGGAAGTTTATAAGACAAGGCAATATATATAAATAGGGACAACACAATACACTAAATACTGTGCACACTGCTACTAAAGAACGTTGTTATTCCGTACCGTGCGCATATTTTTTACAACGAGGTCATGAAAATAGTCATGACCTGTCCGGAATTTTGCTTTTTCAAGTATGGTGACCCTAACGTTGGTAAGCCTAATAATAGTTAATGTCAGTGGGACTGTTATGCCTGGTGCTTCTTTACTACTGCTGAAATTTGTGGACGAATTATCTATCCGCGATAGTCGAAAGCAAACAAATGGTTAATAGAGACCGATACTGTAACTCGAGAGCGCCTTTTAAAAGATGCGCGAACGTGTAATACGTGGTCTTTGTACGCACCGCCTATCGAGCGCTTCGGTTTTGATCGCTTACGCCCTTATTATCACAGGTATTCGCATTTTTGCACAACCTAATTAATTTTTAATTTAATATGTTTCTCCCATCGCCAAAATTATTCAATAGTATTATTGTCGGCACTTGCGCGAGAAATGAAAGAGGCAAACAAACTTTATTTCATTACAATAACTGAGGTGGACAAAATAGTATTTCATTATCGAATAATTTGAATATTTTAACGAATTCTCGAGTACCGGGTATTTTTAATATATATATATACAACACTAACAACAGGCATCCAGTACGATAGACATTCTAATGTTGGTGAGCTATGTCGCACGTCCTCGTTTTCAAGAGGACCAAGTTTGGCTTTATATTTCTGGGATAAATATGCGTTCATATCGGCTACATATGTAAAAGACAGCTATTAAGGAGCGAATTCGGGATTTTATTCAGATTTTTATCATTTGCGCCGGCTTTGATATCCAAGTTCGCCACACTCACTCCCCAAGTGCTGCACAAATATCTACTACCGCCACTTTTATTGAACGGTCTGGGAACCAAGTATAAGCGACATAATTTAATCGGAATCACTTGAAATAAATTCAAAAATGAAATTTCTTCGCGGCACACTGGTTGGGAACCACTGTATTAAATAAACTCATATGTATCAGTAGTAACTTTAAATGCGGTGGATACGAACACGTTCGTTGGTAAATACCCAAAAATGTGACAGTAGTATCTGTATAAAAAACAATTGAATAGGTGATTGGAAACGAATAGGTTTTTCAGAGGTGAATATTTAAAAAGGCAGGCAGCGTTCAGAGATTTGCTCGAAGTCCAGGGATGGCCAATTCGAATATCTCGTTATTCGAATATCGGAATTAGCGTTCATAAGAATATCGGATATTTGTGTGACGTCACACATTTTCGACGCCGTTTTCACGACGTTTCCGTTGAATGAAAACATTCTCGATAAAAACTTGCGCGTGATTGTTTTTATCACTCATCAGCGTACCGTGTTATTTAGGCCGTAAACGCCTTTACGTTTGTGTTATTTTCTCTAAAACGAAAATTTTCCACAAATTTGTTCCACGATGACAATTATTTTATTTTTGTACGCGCGCGGAATTGTGAATCTGGTAAATACGTTCATCGGCGGCAGGTTTCTAAAGACAACGCAACTTTTTGATTGAAAAGCGGCAATTTAAAATACTGAAAATAAAACCGTAAACGATATAAGTTTTATTGAGGCCCGCGTAAATTTAAAAAACGCTTTTCTAGGCAGTGAAAACCGCAAAATTACGTGTGCCCCTGGCACACATTATGTCTGGTCGGCGTTTAGAAACATCGTCACGAATTGAGGGCGGGATTTGCCTGATTATCCATTACTTTAAATTGCCGTCGAATATTTTCGTGTTAACATGATACAAGGTTTGGAACGTGACTTTTCCCGGGCTGCGAGGATGTATATAATATAATTAATCCAAAGTATATTCAATCAATTTTATTGTGATGAAATGAATTTTACTCTGAGATGTTACAGCAGATTTATGAATTTTTCGAACGGTTTTATTAGAAATAATCAGAGTGACAGCATTTCGATTGAGCGGAGAATATTTGTTGACTTCGCAAAATACGGAACAAAACATTATTTAATCGGGCAATTTACTACACGTTTTTACTTTTATGACCGCGGATTGCAATGGTATATGAGAGTGGTGAGGATTTTATTTTGGCGACGCAACCGCAGGTTAAATTGAAGACAATTAAATTAATAAAGCAAGACATTTTAAATATGCCCGTATCGGTCACGAATTCATCACTTTGCACAACAGAAAAATATATATTCGTTGTTATATTATTTGTTGTAAAAGTCGACTCTTTCAACAGGTGGCATAATCGCGGCGATGAATATGTATTTTTAATTTACTGCTAAACTTTATATGTATATTCATTGTATGAAATGAATTATACTCTACAATTTAAGAGAATTTTATATCATTATTTGAGATTTTTCTAACGGCGATAACGAGTTGGCAAGATTGCAAAAATACGTATTAAAATTAAATACATCAGACAGTTTATCTCGTACTTTTAGGCCACAGATCGCCGTGGACTGAATAGTAATGTTTTTTTTGACGTAAGAAGAAGCAACCGCGAGTTACGTTGGACACATTAAATTAATATCTAAAAATAATATAGAATATTGTAGTTGTCATGGATTGAATATTTTACGTGACAGGATGATCATTATACGCTGAAAAGACGGCTTTTCAACGAGCGCGGAATCGCGATGGGTGTTACAGGCGGCAATGGGAATTTCAGATTTCGAAAATTCTGGCTGCGCGGCTGGTGGTCATCTATCCTCTACTAATTTATTTCTAATTTCAAACACAACAATATGTTACACATAATAACAATATGGTTCACATAAATTATTATACAAATATACTGGTAGGTAGTAGAATACTCTATGCTTAAATATTAGAATTTTTAAGGGCATAATGAATTTTCGATTGTTGTTGCTTGTTCCAGTTGCCTGTATTGCCAATAAATTTTATTACTCTCAGAAAATATACACAATTATCTGAATACAAGTAGTAGTATTTTTGTCAATAGACTTGACTATTATCGTATTATCATGGTACCAATGATAGAAAGCGTCAGACAACTCCTTGTCTATCTTTTCATATGGTCATTTGTACTAAGTGAAAAATTTAAAAAAACTGACTGTGTCACAGGTTGCTATTATTTTTTATTGATAGCTATAAACTACCAATTACTTTGCGTACAGCATATACTGTTGGTTTGTGGCTTTATTCTGATATTTCTATTGAAGATTATTTCCTAATTTACTGGGTTTTAATGAACTAAAACTAAAATGTGTTATTTTCGATTTTAGAATGTATTCGGAATTCCAGATTCGAAAACAATATTTTAAAATGTATTCGGAATAGTATTCGGAAATGGCCATCCCTGGCTCGAACCCAATATAGAAATGATGTAATAATCAGTGTCACCGTTCTTGTTTTAGAGTTGGACCAAAGACAATGCATAGCAAATAAATTACACTGTTGCTAAAGCATATAACCGGTTCTGAAAAAGTACGTTAGACATCAAGTTCATACAACAACAAAAGCTGGTGACATAAAGAATTGGACTTGTGCAATATCATGTCACGGTTATCAGGGGCTTGAAAATGGTCCGTGCACCTGACAAGCTCTCAAAAACCGGCCATACAAATGTACAACAGCGCCAGAAGCAACCAACTAGAAAAACGACTCGAAAGTCCGAAAACAGAAATTCAACAATGGCATCATAATTTCTGGAGCAAACACAATGAGCAATTTAATAGAGGGAAAAAAGAATATATTAAAAATCACAAGAAATTTTCATCATCTATAATTAAAGGAGATGCGAAACAAACTTCAAATGCAGAAGACATGGCAGTCTTTCATAAAATGTTTTTGAAACAAAATCACTTTGAACACCCAGTATGACAGGTGAGTCCTGTTCATCTTCTCAGAAACCAATCATAGAGCGAAATACCATTAAAATATTTTTCCAGGGAATGGAGATACAGAAATAGAAAAATCCTCTATTTGATGCTGAAAGTTGAATTGCAAAAACAGTCCAGAAATAGACAAACAAATTTCTCTGACGCCATCACATCATCGCTTGCTTAATAATTTGTTTCTAAAAGGATAGTAAAAAATGAAGACATGCTTAAACTCGAACTGAGATGATAATTACTGGATTTCATGCAGGATACAATTAAACATACAATTCCCATCTACCGAAGTGACTGTGACTGAAGTTTGCATTAGGGTTTTGTGCCATGTTCAGTAGTATCTTACTCAACCAGTACACTTCAAGTTGAGGGTGGGTACTATTTATTTGAACGAAGATCTTGAAGATCTATACAGTCGATTTTGGAGACAACATACCTTGATATATTTACTCGCATTTGTTCCCATAAGCCCCAAAGAACGAAGAAGTACAACTGGAAGTGCGTCTGTTGAGTATAACTTGTTCAGCGCATCCAAGGTGCCCACAACTGATACATTTCTTATTTGCCTTTCGCTCTCATATTCTATTAACTGGGAAATACATCCTGCAAAAACGTTTCGAGATCGTAAATAAAGTACAAAATATAAAACATCTATGTAGTGGGTTATATTGTGTTGAAATAGTTACCTATATCCTCTCCTTGATAAACTGCTGTTTCCAGCACTTTTGTTAGACATGCAACATCACCGAACCCCAAATTTGCACCCTGACCAGCAAGCGGATGAACTCTTAAATTTAACACAATTAGTCAATGAAAAACAGATTGACAATGTTCTCAGTAAAAAGTTCAATTTTTGATACAATTCAGCAGAAATAAAGGTTAAGTTGTTTTCATAAATCTGATTTATCATAACCAGTACCATCCATAACAAGCACCACATTATCGATATTATCAAAGTCTTTATATAGTCTGAAAGATGGTGAATGAGACTATAGAAATAGCAATTTCCAAGTAATAGATCTAATTTTACTCAGTATTTTAGGAAATGCCTAGCCATAGTCAAAAGTACATAATAGTTCCTTATTTGGCAATTAGTTTTTTAGTGAATATGCCCACTCTTTTCTATTACTGTCCACCTGCCATTTCATTATACTGTAATACCTGTGCGCAGCGTCTCCAATTATTGCCAATCTTGGCCTCACATACTCATTACAATGAGATAATCCCAATGGAAATTTTGCTTTATCACCTTGCAATGTTGATACTACTGGTGGCAACTGCATAGAATTCATAAGTGTTCCATGATCTGAAAATATTAAAATGTTATGCGATTAAATAGAGGTGTTTGATCATCCATGCTATTAGTTTGTTAGGAACATACCGTTACTAATTTCCTTCATTAGATCTTTGAACGCCCCTCCTATTTTGTCAACAATTTCATGTCTTGGATACTCCCTGCACTAAATTCAGAGAATGGCCAAATATTAGTCATTAAAAAGATATTCAGAAAAAATAAATTGGTGCTGTCTGTGATACTTGAATATATACATTAATTTACCTAATTTCAGTATAGATTGTAAGTAGTAATTCATCTCACATAAGCATCGTTAACTTCTGCCACAAAATCATCATTATTCATATGACAAAGACTTTCTGCATGCTCATGGGAAGTGCTCCATACTAGTGAACTGTGCTGGTCATCTAAAGGTAGCATCGCAATGGGTCCTTAAAGAAAAAATGCATGAAAGGAAGGGAAGTTAATATGAGCTGAAGAATGTAATTGATATTGTTATACCTTCAGGAAGGAATCTTTGCCAAGCCTGGAAATTTTCTGTGGGTTCCTCCAGTACCAGTGTTGCAACAACGGCAGATTGCTTATATGTCCATGCTACCTTTGATATATTTGCTTCCTGTGCAATAAATGACCGTGCCCCATCTGCAGCTACCTGATGTATAGAAAGCCATATGAAATATCTTTAAAAAAAATATGAAATGCTTTGTTCCAAACATTGCATATATCCCAATATGATTAGGAATTCTTTACAATGGGAACATGTGGAATATTGAAAAATACAAAATAAAATGATTGCACTTACTAAAAGAGCGGTCTCAAGAGCATCACCATTTTCCAATTCGATCTTAACATTCGGAAGTGGCTTGTTTGGGTCATCCCTTGCATAATTTCTTGGCAAAGTAAATGATTTAATTTTTGAGTTGTATATTGTGTTTAAATGTCCCATAGTGCTGTTTTCAAGAATATTTTGTATGCTTGAGGTTATCATGTTGTTCTCAATAATGTAACACAGATCATCTGCAACATCTTCTTTGTCGAATGTAATCATTGCATCAGAACAGGCATCCCAAACCTACAATCAATAGGTTTGTTAATACATCACATCAAGTCGTCCTAAAAAATCAGATATAAGGTTCTCACCTGCATTTTTGAGACTGGACGTTTTCTTTCAATGCTATCCCATACATCAAGTTTTTGTAACAATTTTTTTGAAGATGGAGATATTGCAATAACACGATTGCTATATGGTTGTGAAGTTTGGAATGATTTTACCTTCGTCGTTGGCGGTGGTTGAGCTTCAAGCAATAAAGTTTTCTTGTCTTTGAGATAAGAACTAGACTCTGAAAGAAACAACTCGGTGAAAATTAAGTGATATAATTGTGTTGTGGGTATTCAAAAATAATTATAAAATATAAATTGTGTTTCGTCATTGGTTACTTGAACTCACGTATTGCTTGAGCCATCGCACCCCCAACGAGTCCACCACCAGATATTATTATATCATAATATTGGTTTTGTCCATCTGACATTGGTCGATAGTTGGAAAATGTAAATGCAGCAGACAAATTCTTTTTTAGTAATACATTTCTTATTGCAGCAAGAGGCAACATAGTTAATACAGTCTATAACTAAAAGTATATTTTATAAATTCACTGTGATAAGTCTGTTTCACTACAGAGCAATATAAAGAAAGAAAAATATACAAGTTGCAGAGATAATTAGTTTTTACTTTCAGCACTAAGCAAGTATTTCACAACAGGCTATATACAATAGGTGGTGAGCATCATAGTTAAAAAGCCAAGAATAACAAGACTTATTAAAGGTATTCTGACTTTTGTCATATATTAACAAACAAATCAATGTCACAATATTGCATGTTTCTGTTAGGTATTAATACACTAGTATCAGATCTCAAGCATCTGCTTTGAGTTGACGATTTGAAAGTTCAATCTTTTCACCAGGTTTGAATGCAGGCATTCCGAGATAAGGGCAACTTGCACATCTGAATGCATCCCCTAAATAACAACTGCCACATGCTGATGAAACAGACTTGGGTTTTGGCACCTCCCCAGCGTCTAACTCTTCAGCTAAGCCACATGTACAGTTCTTGCAAGCTTTTTTCTTCTTTGGTCCTGCCTGACCACAACTGGCTTTTAAGCTAGCAGCTGTTGGTTTCAACAAGTCTGTGTCATCCAAGAGTTCATCATCATCAATGAGATCAACGTCATCATCATTCATATCCACTGCTGAGAGAGACCAAACCTGTTTAATTTGTTGATCTGATGTTTTTGACTTTGCAAATGAGAGCTTTATTTGTGTTGATGAACCAACTTCAAATGCTGGTTTTTGTGCAGTAATGAGAGTAGCGGTTTCCTTCCCATCTCCAATAGAACCATTGTTATGTTTGAATGTGATATTGACAAATCCTGAAAGCCTCAAGGCTGACTGGAGACTACTTTCTGACCATGTATCTGTCTTTTCCGATTGTTGATGCAATTTCGAAGACATGATGAAATGCCCCGAAGGCTTCAAGAGTCTTGCAATCTCAACAAAACTTGATTTTGTGTAAAACTCTCCTGGAGACAAAATACCAACTAGGGCAATGTTAAATGTTGATTCACTGTAGTTAGCCATTGTAAGTCGTTCAGATTGTTCCATGTGGACTGAGCCATTGGAACCAGCATTGCTTCTTATTTTATCCAGTAGACTTTTCATTTCATCTTCCCTCACAATTGCTTTCCAAAGAACAAGTACACAATCACCATCTTTAACAGACTGGCAGGCATCCATGATTCAATGATCACAGGATTATACTGTATTATAAAATTCCTAAATTATATTCAATATGAGAATATTCAACGAGATTATATTAGTATACAAAATACAGCAATAAGAATATGGGTATTCAAGAAAGCATGATATGACAAGGAGAGCTCAGAAAAACATTAGTAATTTTTTTAAACAAATAATAGTCTGTCTCGAACTCTTTCGGATTCGAATAGTTTAGGTTCAAATAGTTTGATATTCTGTAAGTCTCTATAACAGTATAAACACATACAGACATAACATTATTTATAGAATACTGGAATATGGGAAGGATAACAAAACCTGAAATAAGGTAGTGTTTCAAAAGGGCGCTGAATGTAGTAGTGGCTATCTTGCTATCAGCATCAGCCCACAATAAAAATTAAACCTATCCCTTCAACATGCATGTTTATTTTTGTTGAAATAGTCCAGCTGCAGAGATGCCTGAAGATATTTGCTAGGGAATACATGTCACTGGATTGTGTTTTAGTCAAAAATTGAAGAATATTTACAGCAACGAGGGGTCCCGCAATCCTCTCGCACATAAGTATATAGAGTTATCGGGTCTCATGTAGTTTCGTACCTAACATTCTTCACGTATCAATCCTAACCCCCACCTGACTACACCATCTAAAAATTTTGTCAACACGACGTCACAGTGACGTAATAGAGCCCTTCAAACTATACGAACTGCCATCCAAGACGCGCAAACGAGCACCCGAAATCGAACAGTTATTTCTCTCGTTTTCTCGTCGCAACGATTCCAATAGGAGAGAGATCAATAATGTCAGTCAGTTCTTTATCGTCGGCGCCAATGCCATTTCGGGCGATTGTACGTATATTTGGCAAGCTCTATGACGTGATTGTGATGTCGTAATTTTTGGATGGCGTAGTCAGATGGGGGTTAGGATTGACATATCAAAAAATTGTTACCGTATTCTAGCGTACGCCCACTAGAAGTACGGTACGTTAGGTACGAAACTACACGAGACCCGAATTATCCCCCACAGAATTCGAACCCACACTGCCACGCAGGGCACGGTCCGGCCCGGGGTAATCAAAAGTGCAGTGCAGGGCATATACCAGGGATGGCGAACCACTGACCCGCGGGTCACAAAGTGACCCACAGCGTTTTATTCGTGACCCGCCAAGGCACGAATAAAATAAGAAAAATGGTAACATATCAGTGATAAAAAATATTAAAATCGGCCTTAAATTAATCTAACAATACCGGTACCTAAACTATTATAATGTACGGTCAGTTGGGCAGTCAGGGTTGCGATCGCTTATATTCAAATAGTTAATTTCCGGTATGATAATATTCAAAACCCCTAATCTTGGACGCATGTCTGCACCGTTGTGTGCCGTTATTCAGCTATTGGCTCTGACATAGTTTACTGGTTTATGACATAACAATCCAACTGATGTTCATTTCTCGCAACGTCTTGTCTCTTCAGAAGTGCATCTGCAGACTGTTTTAGAGGTTGTACGAGAACTAGACGCCACTTTGCATTTTATTAGTTTCTCGCCTACAAATGCTACAATGCCGTTTAGAATACAAAATCTTTCAGACTTGAAATAAAAACCTAGAAATCTGGAATAACAATGGGGCAGTGCAAAAGTGCTTTTAATATGGTTAAAGCTGATATACATAAAAATATAGCACTACCAGAGTGGAATTCCCCTCAAACTCTTTGGAACCGTAAAATAATTTGCCGCATCATCCTAAACGTGATTCATATGTGTGTTTTCGTACCCTTAATCGAGTGCCATAAAAAGTTCCTGATAAAGTGCTGTAAAGTAAAGCACTAAACTACACCAACATTAACAGAACCGTTATATTATGATTTGTTTCAGAAGTTTCTTATAGATAGGCTACAAACATTGATTAAATATCTGTGACCCACTCTCTTCTGTTCCGCGGTAAAAAATATGATTTTTGACCCATTCATTGAAAAAGATTCGCCATCCCTGGCATATACTGTAAGGGTACGGTACCGTACCGGTATTCAGGTAGGTACCGGTAACGTTCAGGTATCATGACTGCATGATGAACCACACCGCCGAGCCTTTTTAGTCCTGATACTCCAACAATTACATAACCATACATACATTCATTAAAGGAAATCAGATCTGACTGACATCCTACTAGTCTCAGAGTCTACCCCCAAAACTTTTTTTTTAATATCATGACACCATCGACACCGCCTTGTGAAGCCATCGATAATGACGCAGCATGTTGTAAAAGTAAACAGTCCAGATTCCCGACGAGCGATAAATTTTGCTTTGTCACGATAGCAGATAAAGGTATTACCGTAAATATGTACTACTACTAGTATACCTGCATTTATTATCGCCTATAAATACTACGGGAGGCTCTTGGTTAGTCTTCGAACTGATAATAGGACTAAAATAAGGAAAATTGGAAAAAAAATATCGCCTAACCCTAACCTGTTACCCATGTTACGTTCCGATGTCCGCCATCTTGGTTCGCATACTTCGGGAGCACCAGAAATTCATCGCGGGGCGCAAACGTTTTTACCAAACTTGAGTATTAGCTAAGTTACGATTTACGTAAGAATTTATATAAAACATAAAAAAAAATCGTATAAAAAATAATCGAATCTCGGTTGCTGAACAAAGTATTGGAGCAATAAACTATTAGAATACCTGGTAACACGTGACTTGGACACGGCACGTCACACGCGCCTCGCTAAATCTCCATTGTTCCAATTTTTAAGTAAATGGCCATATTGTGCACCATGTCGCGGCGTGAGTTTCGACAACTTTTCAGTTGTTAACGTGTTTCCCCGAAAATAAGACTGGATCTTATTTCAATTTTTCTCCGAAAAATAACACTAGGGCTTATTTTCGGGGGAGTTTTATATTTTCATTTATCAAAAACAACATTACAACGTAGAGAATTATGATATGTTTAAATATACAAAATATGAAAACCGATATCCCTTTACTTATAAATAACACGTTTTTATTCAAAATAACTGCAAAACATAGATTATTAATCACTTAAAACGTGTAGGAGAGATTTCTTGCTATCGACTAGGAGGACAAAGAAAAATTTCGCGTTATAGACCAGGTTTTATTTTAATGGGAGGGTTTATACTAAAATCATTTTTAGAATTCAGGATAGGTCTTATTTTCGAGGAAACATGGTAGGACCGTTTGGTAAAATTCAAATCACCAATACAATTACCTAATAAAGTAACATTTAAAATTTCCGAACGGATATATTAATTTGAATAGGAAATACCATTTAGTGAATTCTGCGATATTTCAATGGTTACGCACTTACGACAGTTCAGAGGTTTTATTCTGAAGCTAAAATAACATGGGCACGATAGAAAACTACAATCCATAAAGATATTGTTTGTGTTTTTTTTTACGATGGTGATGAGGGCAATCAAATCCGACACAAAGGATAATAATCAGAATGAAACTAATTTGGAAATTTGGGCTGCAAACTCCTTTCTACAATTTTCCTCAGCGAATCGTCGCCAGTGATCGCATGATATCTTTAGAGTTTTTCAGAAGGAGCAATTCTAGATATATACCCACTAATTCTCAAGACTTTATAGCGGCGGAAAATTTTGAGACTGACTACGATAAAATGAAATTCATATACCTTGCAATAGTGCCCGTAAAAAGACTATAAAACATTTAGATAGATACCTACCGTATATCCTCGCATGTAAGTCGACCCCCTAAAAACAGCCTTAAAACGGTTATAAAAATTTGCATATAAGCCGACTCTACAAATCGTAACACGCCGTATCAAGCCAAGGATGTCCAATTCGAATATCGCTACCTTCGAATATCGTTTTTGGTATATATCGGCACACATGCTAGCACCGGCGTTCACATTTTTATCGAAAACATTTTCCGAATATTATGTTTTATGGTAATCGAAGACAGCCCATTGCGGCTCGGTAATGATATGATATGATCTTTGCTATCAAATTATGCTCGGGCCTTGCATGAAAATCATAACAGGAAAAGATACGTCCAACGATGAAAATTGTTTATATCAACTTTAAACCTATTTAGTGTTTTAAGCGATAATAATCAATTGTTGTAATGAAATACAGTTTGTTTGCCACTTTCATTTCTCTGGTAAGTGCCGACAATAACACTATTGAATGATTTTGGCAATGGGAGAAACATGAATTATAACAACAAGAGAGCTACGTCCAAATATATGGACACGTCTGTTCGCAGTATAGTACGGTTTACCGTACCGTCAGATCACAGTCTACAAATATATTCACACCAAGCGAAGCAGTACAGTAGGACTTCCAACTTTCGCTAAGGCGGTACGGTAACGTCCCCGCAGAAAAGAAAACCAACATTATAGCAATACTGTACGGTACAGTACCGGTACCGTAGTAAGACAGCGTAAGGAAAAAATCGTAGCAAAGTACCGTAAGGACTTCGTTACGAACCATCGACTTTCGATGGCACGTTATCAAAAAGAAGAGGAGTGTCGGCTATGCGTCCGCAGAACGTTCGGTGACGTCTAGCAAACAAAAACAAATCTCACAGAGCTAACAGAAATATTTGAAATAAATAAAAGTAATAGCCTTCTGGAAAAAAATTTCATCTTTAACCAGTAAAAATTTCGAAGCAATCGGTCCAGTAATGAAAGAGCGTGTGAGCGTGTGTGAAATATTTCAATTATTTTAGGTGAGTGAACACGTACCACATCTTCTTGGCAAAACCTTCCATCTTATATACATTCTGTACGTTTTAAACCTTATCTAAGGTTTTGTTCGCTCTCCTGATTTCATAATCAGTTTTTATTTATTTATTTTTAGCATTCATTTTATTGTTTTGCTGATTATGGAGTCGAAATAAACTTATACTTATACTTAAGAGAAAAGCGGTTTTTTAGATTTTCCACTAGATGTCCAAAAAGTGTCAAAGAACAACAACAACAAGACCAACATAATATTGAAACGACTACGTGTCCAATAATATTGAAACGATCGTTATGTCCACTACGTGTCCGTGTCCAATAATATTGAAACGATCGTTATGAATTAGGTTGTGAAAAAGTGAGAATACATGTGATAACAAGAGAGCTATGCTCAAATATATGGACACGTAGCGCCACCCAATGGCAATAATTTTGATGACGTCATAGCGAGAAAAAAAAGTAATAGCCTTCTGGCGAAAAATTTTATCTTTAACCACTGAGAATTTCAAAGCAATTGGTCCAGTATTCGAAGAGAAAAGCGATTTTTTAATGATAATGACGAAAGAAAATAACAATAACAACAAAATTTTGAAACGATCGTTATGGCCACTAAACGTGTCCAATAATAAGGGCGTAACGTGGAATGGGGAAGGGCGAACAAAACCGAAGCGCGCGATCGGCGGTGCGTTTGAAGACCACGTATTACCCGTGCTGCCGCGCAATTTATAAAATAATGTGAGGTGCTCCGAAGATGCTCTCGTTTACAATAATATAAGAAAACAGTTGTAATATAGGTATTTATGAACCATTTGTTCGCGTTCGACTATCGCACTCTTTATGAGTAGAAAATGTTCGTGTTTTGTGATAGGTGTGCCGCGAATATTTAAAGAGATAAATAGTGTGCTGCGATATAAAAAAGGTTCGGAACCACTGAGTTAATTTGTGTGTGTATAAGCTTAGTTTGGCAACTTTTTTTTGAGTTTTGAACTGCACTCACATGCGATATACGGTAAATGGTGTTTCTCGCGCGTTTGAACGACATGGAATATTTTTTCTAGGAGATGTCATAGTGCCGTCGTGGGACACCTCGGATTAAACTGACTTCGTTAACATTCTGTTGTGTTTGATTTTATTGCTTCTTCACACAGAGTTCGGATATAATTGACAGCAAAGATTTTCGCTGGTGAAAGAATAGTCCGCTGAGTGAGCCAGTTATTTGTTTTTGCATGAACTTGAATCAGCAGAGGGTACTTGCTATCGCACCCCTGATTACCATGCACGGGTTCGCATCCCGCTGGGAATAATTAGGTGCGAAGGTATTGCCGCACTCCTGTTCGTCGTAAGGTGGTTTAGGTCAGTGGTTCCAGTCCGCGAAGCTTTTTTGCCGGTCCTTGGTTTATTACGCAATTTCTCATCCGCCGTCATATTGCGACGTCTTTCGCGACATCTTGGCGCCGAGCAATCACACTTTTCGCTTTTCCGGCTCCGATTCATTGCGAATGCGCTCCATCAAATCTCGCAAGATTCAGAAACCTAAAAATCGGCACGAGTGCTTTTTTTGTTTTGAGTGCTTTTTTCATGATTAATATATGACGATCCATATAAAACGTTATGCATATTTCTTTGTTTAAACCAGAAAACAGTCAAGAACAGTAAAATATTTCAGTAGGATATGAACTTGTTGCGACCCTGCAGGTGGTCACGAGACACGCAAAAAAGCATGGGCCGCAGAGATGTTTTCCAGTATTTTGAGCAGACAGTAGGATTTTGAGCCTGGTGCCAAGTTATCGACGACTTTGTCATTGTAACGTAAATTCGTTTCGTTTGAGGCGTCGATCAACTGCAAAGGATTAATATGATGAACCCGATGAAAAAGGAAAAGCTTGATTAAAATTGTGATTCTACTTTACAGTCCATATTTAAAAAAGAATTACTTGACACAATTTTGGAAATCTATTGATAAGAATACCTATCACTAAGTAATCGAGCAATCAAACTGTTGTACATATTTTCAACCAGTTACTGCGTTATGCGAACTAGATTCAATTAAAACGAAGCAAAGAAATCGGCTGCACGCGCTACAGAGCTCCGTGTCGCAGAAACTTCTTTGAGGCCTCGTTTGCAATTCTTTATTCGAAACGAAACAGCAGCAAAATTCTTACTGGAGTTAATTGTGACATGATTTGACATGTAATATACATATTTTTATATGAGATGTTTTATGATTTCCTTTTTTACGCATATTGGGTGCTCAGCAGTGCATTTCATTACGCAAATATATGGTATTATTTTAGTGTTGACGGTCACTGATGATCGATACCGTCAGTATTGCAGTATAAAACAGAACATTCACAAGATGTGAAATAGATCAAAAAATTCACGTGTATTGCTGATGATGATTTTTTGAAGGAAACAACATACAAACATTCAACGACTGTACAAGAAGTGACCAGTGAGTTTATGTTAATTACAGTCACAATTGTTTGCATTTGGTTATGGAATAAAATTTAAACTTTTGATAATTATTCAGAAATACTGACATACAATTTGTTTGCTGTTTAAATATATTCATCCATCTGTTATTCTTTACTTTGTTAATAATACTGTGGTGCTGTTATTACATGTGGACTGTAGGCTACAGTTATCTGATGTTAAGGGTTTCATTTTGTAGTGATCAATTCATTATATCGTATTTTTTTATTTGAGAATTGGAAATAATATTATCCGTTAACCAAGGTTTACATTTGATGCCAATATCTTCGATTTATCACAATATCACCGAGCGATGGGGGAAATTAAGCATTACTTTCACAACATATATATATCATGTATGCAACTGTTGTGAACCGCTTGTCTGAGGGAGTCTGATTTTGGTCAGGCGAAACGTTACAGAAATGCATTTGTGTTGGTGTGCAGTATTAAATCCACCACTGCTTTTATGTAACAGGTACTTTGAATATTTGAAATTAAATTGATAGTGACAAAACATGTAAACCAGTTAGTAAGCACTGACTCGTAAAATCCCTTCCAAAATAGGTATCAAAAAGTTTGCAATGTTGGGTATACGAACGAACGGCTTGGAGTTCAGCAATCCGCTCGCATATACCGGTATTTATCCAACATGATATTGTAGCCTTCCATCCACGCATAGTTTGTATTGCCAGACTTGGTTCCTCATATCAGCAAAAGAAAATGCGGTTTTTAAAGCAATACAATTCGAAGAGCAATCAATAATTTTTTATACTTTATAATAGAACGGATACAGTATGCAGTTAATACTACTACTGCTTACTTCAATATTATTATTCACAGTACTCTTTGAATCCGCTACTGGGGATGTGGGATGATGATACTAACAGTGCCCTATTTCCCTTCTCTCATTCATTGGTAGATTGTACTAGCCTATTTGAATATACCCATATTTCTGAACTTCACTTATTTATTATGTTATGTCATACGACTCATACATGTTAGACGTAAATGAATAGATGTATAAATTTATTGCATTTTATGAGTTCTGAAGCATATCATAAACTAAGTAATTGCAGTATTTTTAGTATTTCATATACGTACATAAAAGGTCATTGCAATTAAAAGGCTTCACTTGCATTTGAAAAGCTCAAATTGTTAAACGGATACCTACAAAGTGGATAAGAGCTAGATTTCAGGTAGTATTTATATTACCGCCGCGCAGTAACCGGTCCGTGTAAAAAATGCTAGTTATAGTTAAGACTAATAAAAGTTTTTCGACTCCATAACAGTATCCGTCTAACAATGGATTATTAAAAGCTAAGCAGAACACTCACATAAGCGTCATATTAGATTCGGCAAAATAGAAGTTCTACATTTAATCCGAGATAAAGAAAAGTTCAATCGCAGTAAGGTAAATCCTTGAAGTCCTGAGAGTTTGAATGCCACTTAATTTTCTTTGTTTCTTTGTCCTTGATCCAGCACCCTTTATTTTTATCTGAAGAACCGTGCTTGTTTCCTTTGTCTGTATTTTTATCTTCAATATCATCGCCATCATCATCATCATCTCCGACGTATTTATGTTTTCCGGCGATTTCTAAGTTTTTTTGCTTACTTGTATCCTTGGACTCGTCGTCATCATCATCGTCGTCATGCTTGTCATCATCATCGTCGTCTTTTAATGAAAAGTTGATAACATCATTGGCTAACAAAAAAGGGTGACGTAACAAATAAAATTCAGCCAGCCACTCAAACATATTTTTCAACATAGTTCTAATCCTGTAATATAAGAACTCAACATACGATTGCACGATAGGATAGAACTTTGGCGTCAAGTTTATATACTGTACTAATGTCACTACGTAAACTTGATTAACATTACAATCTCAACATAAATTTACTACATAGCTGTTGAAACGCCAAATACAAGTTTAGTCGACAGCTACGATGCAATATACCCATCTGTTGGGCAAAACAAAAAACAAGAAGGTTCTTACAGGAACTTATATCAATTTTTCTTCGATTAGGAGACCAAACACGCAATTAGGATTTCACTTTAAATATACATTTTTGTTGCGGTATTTCGAGACGCGGTGGACTTCAAATGCGTTACTTGATACCAACATTGGGAAATCTATAGCCATATTCTATTTTTTACACTCGTGCAGAATAGCAAAAATGCCATTGTCTGATTAGCCACTCATCGTAGGTATGGTTCGCATAAGTTCAGTGGTGTACCACGGATCTCGTTTTAAGGAGGATTACAAATTTCAAATAATTATGTGAGAGATGAGAATAGATACCGTTAAGTGTTTTTAAAAACGTCAAATCTCATGTGGTCGTTTCTAGATAGATTGCCGACTAGAGGTCCTACGAAATAAGAGTTGCTATTTTCAAATTGCAGTACCTCGTCGCAAACTAATCGAAGTAGAATTATCTCCAACTATTCGACCAGGTGGCGCAGATCTTTTTGGACCGGAGGGAAATAATAGGTGGATGCCGCTAATAACCTTTACAGTATTTCGATTCTGGGCGCGAGCCACTAGTTTACCAAAAGGTGGGGCGCGGAAGAGACTGACAAGCTAGGACTCTACCTTGTGATGTAATAATGAAAGTGATTTAGTTTGCCAACTTTATTTTGTACGCTCCTTGCACATGTTTATTTAGTATATATAAATGAACTCCTCATTTCGTCTATTTGGATCACTTCATCCTCGCTAAAAACATTTTTTATTTTTTTATTTTTTCAATCTTAATAAGATCTTCATCTTGTGTTATGCACAGGGCCCAATCGCGCTCCTGTACAATTTGAGTGGTATATAACAAGTGCATAAATAAGTATCACAATAATAGTAATGAACTAAATAATATTATCCCCGTTACCTAACGGCAAATACAAAGCTTTGTCGTAACGAAAAAGAGTGACGTCATTATAGTCTATCTGTTTCCAATAGCAGGGTGTTATCAACGGTTCATTCAAATCTACCCTACATGTCACGAATGTTATATTGACTTTTGACTCAAAATCAGCTGAAAATTTTTTTTTGCGCGCCCCTTCGAGTAGAGCTGATTTTCATGATGAATAACTTTCTTGAAACCGTATGTTTTGTGTTTGTGCATATATATGCAATTTATATTTAGTTGGACTTGGCAATTTGTATGTCAGTGGTATGTTAAAATCAACAAAGCACGGTTTTCCAATATAGGACTTGGCGTGTTTAACGATAAGAATTCTTACCCGTAAGAATGCATTTCGTTTGTGATGAACCTCCTTCACCGGATTTGAGGTTTGAGTGTTTGGAGTCACCCCTTCCATATTTGAAATACATACCAACACCTATCCCAGTTCCTATGAAAACACAGATGATGAGTACAGACAATACAATTGTCAAGCGGGTGCTGCAACATCTCTCTCGTCGAGCCTGAGAATGATGAAATTGTTTTTAAGCACTGATGATACGACGAACCATTACTAACATATATGGGATAATGGTAGATGATATGTTCTTATAGATTTAAATTTTGCGAGATAGAGTCTGCCCAACAAAATAAAAGAGTACAGTATCGTACAAATTATTATTACTTTATATTTTAAAATCGTATGAATGGTCATTGGATATGAAAGTAGAAGCCCGTAAAAGCCCCGAACTTTTCGCTTCCAATTCAAATCTCTCAGCATTCAAATTTAGTCAAGTTGCATAATACATTTTGCATATTCGAATTGATTATGAGACTGTTCTTCTAGTTTTGGATAGACATAATTAGAACGATTATTTTGTTTCCATTTTTAAATATCGTATTACCTTGGTAATGATGCCACGGTTATACCCCGCTTTGAGAAAATTCCCATGAAAAATAATTCACGCATGCATCCAAGTTCGAAAAAACCAATAAATTCGCGTAAAAACCTACTAAAATCTCATTGAAACGCGTAAAAACCCACTCAGTTTTATGATATATAAAACTAATTATTGAAATCGAATAGACCATTTTAAAAATGCGACAAGACAGAAATCTGCATAAGTAGTTCAAAATGCACTACTAAAAAGTGAAGACTTACATATGTTGATGGCAGCACTGTTGGGTTCGCGTAAGCAGGCGCGTGTTGTACTATTATCGGCGGTTGCATTGACCTCACATAAACTGAATCATCTTGTGTTGCATTATATCTGTCAACCCTCTGCGCGGGTATTCTATCTACATAATGTACTTGGCGCTCTATGGCATTTGGTCTCTGTATTCTTTGACCAGAATAATGCTCATCGTTTGGTATTACGGATCCCGGAAGAATTGGGTATTCCATTTTCGTGCACAGAACTCGATAAGAACCGCGACTGGAATGAGGCGCGATTACCTTCCGCGATTATATGTCCTGAATATTATATATATATATATATATCTAATTAGATAAATTAAATGTTTACAATATTTTTTGTAACCTGATAAAAGCTATGTACAGAACTACGTTGGTCTAAAATATACATACTTCTATCAATTGTCAGACATTCTAGTTGTGGGTGTTTCATTGTTCTGATCTAATTAAATAAGAATTCAAACCATAACGACAGCAAAACACTGGTATGAAATTTATTGTAGCGTGTGGTGTGGATTTCCACAATATTGTTCTTATAACAATCCAGGTCACGAGTTATTGCTGCGGTACTTACAAAGAAAATACCCTTTTCTTCTCGGACGTATATACTTATGTAGCATATGGCAGGCAGATAAATTCACGTAAAAATGTTAAATGTATATTTCACTTTTTATGTGATCTGCTGGGATTAAGGACATGAAGTTTGGAAACAAGTCATTTTGCCAGTTTTTGTTTTGAATATGCAATACGTTAACTCGCTCAAGAGTTTTTTTTTCCTGGATACGTCGAACACGTCCCCCTTCGCAGTCGTGAATTGCCATGTTTAGTGCAGTCGCCAAAGCATCGAGCAGACGGCGGGCTAAGGTTGAGGTCGTACGAAGACTTGGGTTGGATTTGTCGTGTGTGTACTCGTCTAAAGAGCTAATTGGCGGAATGATATCATGTTGGGCAAAAGCATATATATATCTGCTTTTTTATATCGGCTAGGTGGAGATTCCATGCCGAATATGCGATGTACAGTGGTGGAATTGAGAACGTTCTCGCAATCCGTTCTTGGACTGTCGCGATGATCATCGAACCTGTTTTTGTTTTAGTTAGACATTAGACGACGGCGGCAAATGTGTACAGTGTACATCAGATGACAATTAGCGTTATATTTGAGGTTTCTAAATTCATGATTAGGTTTATGTAAAGCAGGGGTCGGCAAACTTTTGTCGTTCGCGGGCAAAATTAAAGGTTGCAAGTCATTGGCGGGCCGCACATATTTTTAGAACGTTAAAAACCGAGAAAATGGCCAATGAATCACATTTTTTCACACAGATTTCAGTTAAAATTCAAGCAGCGCGCGAAGACTGATCATTTGAATATTTTCTGCGCCATTAAACCATTTGCACTCAGCATCAACTTTTTTACGTTCTGTTGCCATTTGTCTAAATATAATCAATTTATAGGCTCATTAAACGAGTGATCGTGAATTATATACTTGTTAGGTTATAATATAATTTAGTGTCTCGAAACAAATTCTGTTACGTAATGAATATAATCATCAATACAGTTGTTTTGTTAATATAATTCAGTGAAGAGTCGCGGGCCGCGGATGTTTGAGTGCTGTTTAGAGTTCAATCAAAATGTAAAAAAGTTGTCATAAAATACATCCCATGTTTGAGAATATTTGTTCAAAGTGCGCAATTTAAAAAATTGTCTTAAAAGTTATATATCATAATGAAAACAATGCGCCTGTATGTAGTCTGTGAGTTTTTGAAACCTTGCCATTTTCTGAAAAGCAATATAAGAATCATAGACAGTGTATTTATTCACAGTAGTAAATGTTTAATGAATTTGCTCGCGCTGATAGTGCTTTTAATTTACGTTGAAAATATATGGTTTGGCGCGAGGTGACGCACGAGTTTTTTTTTGTCATTTATTCAAGGGGCGTGTGACTTTTTATATCACTGAGCCGCAGAGAATTAGAAAAGTATGTAACTGCAGACTTTTGTGAAAAATTATCAATTCTTATGATTTTGCCTTCAGATACTCATGGAAAAAAGGTTGGCAGATAAGGAGGACCAAGGTCAACTACTACAACTATTGTCCTTATTCGAAGGTAAAATTCTCAAAAAAACAACTATAAACATCGAAATACAACTGACTCTTCTAACACTATCACGTAATTGCATTTAGTACCCGACTATCGCGAATTTCACTTTCCGCAGCATTCAAATCCTAGTGACTCGTGTGCACCGCTTTGCATGTTCAGCGGAAACTCTTGACTTGACACGACCCACAGTTTGGAGACCACCGATCTGGATTTAGTCCAGTTATTCTCGCAATCCCATTCGCTGCTCGCAACGGGCTAGTTAAAGTTGAATCTCATCACCTTGCTGATCGATATTTTTGTGACCGCCTACTTTACTTCTACAGGAACACTTGAACATGGATTGTCGATTGCCGCCAAGTCCGGGCTTTGAACTCCTATGGCCGGTCTAAAGCCGAATTGGCATGGAGTATGACGGGCTCACAATCGATGCCATTTCCAACGACTGGCTTTACATCGAATGTGTCCATTTCAGCCATCGGACTCCGTTTACTGCCAACGTACCCAGCAGTCTCAAGGTAGCTCAAACTTATTTTTCTATGTAATACGAGCGTCGTACTGCGTACGAGTGGCTACTGGGTTGGATGAGCTCTCATCTGCTTAGGGCTAGTGTTCCTACTATTTGGAGGTGGCTCAAACTTTTTTCTTTGTAGCACGAGTACATCCAAGTACCACGATGGCTACTAACGCCGAAAGATAGGATTCACATCTTTATCGCGGGGAAAACCAATAAGACGGCTTGATCAGATGGCGAACCACGGGCAATATTTCTCAACACTGTACTTGCCGGAAGAAGCTGATTGCCGACCATATCAAAAGTCTGCGATCGGCCTTATTCAACATTCCCGGTCATACAAAGAATTGATATCTTTCGTCGTGATAGTTTTATTTTTTCTCGTCGAGGTCTGCGTGCCAATAAGAAATTCTTCACGCATTTCTCTTCAAAAAAAACCGGGGAACCACCGCCTAACATTATATGTCAGCTTGTAACCGTTACAAATGGACTACGCCTACTTTTAATATAAAGGTAATAAACATCACCAATTATCGTACCAGAGAAATATTTCCAAAGCTGATTTTATTTAGTATAACACCATATAATCGTTAACTTTCTTTCAATTTGGAATAACTACAAGCGAAATTGTCACAAAATAATATCAATGAATAAAGTTAGTTCACTGGACGCATCAAACACCCAATATACTAGGGCTGAGAAATCTTATTTTTTGTTGCACAGAGCTACGCTCAGATACACATCTAGTTTTTAATATCTAAATATCAGTTTTCAAAGAATCCCAGACGCAGTGATAGTTTTCTTCCAAAATTGACTGCACACTAATACTATAGCAGACTCGACGCAATACAATTTGAAACAATGTCTTCTTTTTATTGAAAATCAATATAAAACCACGATTGCAGACTTCTGGCTCCTGTACAACATATATGCGCAGGAATACCTGAAAATTTGTCTTCAAGCAGGTTGATAAAAATGATATTCGCAGCTACAGCAGTTAGGCATCTATATGTCAAACTAGATGTAGCTGCGAAAAAAACAACAACTAAGCCTTGGACTCAGCTGAAGCAAGAGGATTCTTCAGCACAATAATGATAGAGTCTCCACGAATAAACATCTTGCTTATAAAACGATCACGATTAACAGGCTTCTGCTTCGTCTTTCCTTTACCAGTTTTTGGAGTTTCTGTCCACATCTCCTTCACATTTTCCAGAACCATATTGCAATGCCTGTTAACAGAGATAAAACTGTTGTTGCATGAGAATAAATCAAATCTGTGTGGGAACTTACAATACCGTTTCATATACTTTAGCAATATTTTATATAGCAAAATCTGCTTACCTGTCGAATGCTTTAACTCTAGCAAGTAACTTTCTGTTATTTCTGCAGTTGATCAATATTTGTGTATTGTTTTTCACTGAATCAGTCAACACTGATAAAGGACCAGTTTGAAATTCTTCTTTTTCTCGTGCCTCCAACTCCTCAGCAGTCATCTCACTCCTTGGTTTGTTTGCAAGCGCACTGTAGTTGTCGAATTGAATACCGAATTAGTAAACTGGAGCGAAACGTATAGGAAAATATGAGGTAAAAGATATTGTCAAGCTGTCTATATTTCAGTATTTGAGAGTCCACTTACTGCCTTATGCAGTAACTTGATACCAAATGGGGATTTCTGTATTGCCTAGTTCAGTCGTTGAATGTATAAAGCGGTCTGGCAGACTGGAGGTGGACTAGACCGCTTCACTCACAACATTAAAGCTGTAAAGCCAAAACAAGCATATTTCGAGTTCAGATTACAGGATTATATCAAGTATGAAATGTTAATATCAATCAGTAGAAGTAGGCTAACTATCGTTATAAATATTGATAATTACTGAGTTACTATAATTAAGGCTGTTAACGGGGGTCTTACTACTGTACTACTTACTGAATACATCGCATTACAGAGGAAAACAGCGCGAAACAGTGGAAACCAGCGCAAAACAGGTGACACAAATATTACCACTTCATGATGGCACCTGCCACGAAAGAATCACGGTACCTCTCGCCATGGTTTTATAGCGCTACCCGTATTACCTGTATATTCACGAGGTTATGTACCGGTACCGGATTTTAGGTCATCATTTTTTGGGGATTTTTTTGGGAGGTACCGGTACCTGCGGGTCTTTTGACTAAAATAATGATTAAAAACCTATTTTGCAAATAAAACATGGAAATATTATATTGCTCCTAACGTTTCATTTTTGTAGTAGAAAATTTCCAAGGGCTCCCTCAAACATTAACTAACCAATGATTCACATTGTCGCTATTTTTCTCATGCAAAATCATGTTGATAACTAGTTTATAAAACATAAAAACTGTTATATTGTACTCACGCCATTTTGCAGTTACTCCGTATGTAGATACAGATTAAAACCGATTATGATTCAGCAATGACGCTGAAAAGAAAATTCCACTCACCAACCGACAAGCGAGCTACGAGTACGAGCGGCAAAAGTAAGTCGTATATAATATAGTAGACTCCAATCAGTAATTTCGTTTCCCCGACCCTTGACCCCTTAAAAATTCCAATATACCGTGAGACGAGGCCCTCGAAAACGACTATAAAATGAGTTTCGTATCGCACATATGGTAATATAATAATTTTTTTAGTTTCGTATGAAAATCAACACACTAAACGCATTACAGCTTGTTCCCATTAACGAAAGTTGCACATTTTCTGTAACTATGCAATTCAAGAGTCCTGCTGCACACTTAGAAACGTTTCGTCTGACCAAAATCAGACCTCCCTAGCCAAGCAATTTACAACAAAGAACAGCATAAGAAGTTGCATTTATTTTACAGAAGCTATCAAACGCATTTATCTTTATGCAATGAAGTCACAAATTAACACGAGAGCACGAATACACAAAAAAAATCGATTATATATTCGCTGTTTTAAGTTTGCAGATATAGCTGAGCAATACCATAGTCTATACTTTATAATATATACTCTATAATGTATTCTTAAAACATCTGAAAATCTATCTGCTTGAACTCAAAACGTCAGTTACGATCTTTTGATCTTCGTACAAGAAAATGTCTTCTTCAAGATCCTGCGATGTTCCATCTGATCCTTCGAAGCGCAAAAGCTCCACTGATCGTCAAGCTGCTAGTACCTATACAGTTACCAAACTGCCCGAAAGTAAAATGTCCGACCTGGTAACAGTGCTTGAGAGTGAAATATTAAAAACTCTGAGACTTGAAATACCAACCATCATTAAACAACCCATGGAAAGGTTGGCCCATGATGTTTCTTTACTCTCCCCCCTCTAGTATTGGCATCCAGGAGTCGTTGTCATCACTAGATGAATTTCTGAAGGAAGTGAAATCTCAACTATCCCTCTGAAGTGGAGGAGATAAAAAAAAGCCAAGACTTCATCGCAAAGAAACCAAAACGAAGTTATTACCAAAACCTTATTGTCCAAAACAGAGGTAACCTTAGATAGATAGATAGATAGTTTATTTCGAAAACTCCATAACAAACCTAAATTAAAAATGGAGAATTCTGGAGGGCAAGCAAAACCTACAAAAAAGTTTAAAACATGAAGTATCTCATGTGCCTGCCCACCAGCACGCACACCTTAGATCAACATGGCAAATATTTAACAAAATCACAAACACACATAATAAATCAAAGCAACAAGTTGAGGAAATCTGTCTGAAAAATGGCAGTATCACTAGGTTTGACTTTTCGATTTCGAACAAATTTAAGTACTTCTGAACCATTGGGTCCAGCCTCTCTGAGAAGTTTTCAAATGATTCGGGTAATTTCAAACATCTTCCCCATAATCGCGTGAGCAAGTCCATTTTTATGAGTTTGGCTACCGCAAATGAACTGTTGGTAGAAATTCAAAATCTGAAGGTTAGGAAGGCAGTTGGGCCAGACAATATTCCGGCCTCAAATATGTTGCTGACCTTGTTGCTCCGTGTCTAACAGAGTTCTTTAATTGCTATCTCTCACTCAGCATATTCCCTTCATCTCTCAAAATTGAGCGGGTAATTCCTCTTTTTAAATCTGGAAACAAAAAACTTGCTTCAAATTATAGACCGATATCTATTCTTTCATCGATTGATAAAATTTTTGTTTGTACGCTCAATTCACAAGAGGCTTACTAGTTTTTTCATTAAATATGTTGTCATGAATTAATCTCTATTCGGTTTCCAAAACAGTTTTCAACATCGTATGCCATTTTGGATACTATATTTTTTATATATGACAAACTATAAAAAAAGGAGTTTGTTGGTGCAACCTTTTTAGATTTGAAGAAGAGCTTCGATACCGTAAGGCGTAAATTGAGCGGCAGATCACACAGTATGTTCAAGTAGGTACAAATCCTTTTCTTACCGGTGTTTCACGGGTTCCCACAAGGTAGTTGTTTAGGACCTCTTAGATTTTTTGTATTTATTAATGACATAACTAGGGCTGGGCATATTCGAATACCTGATGATTTCAGAATCGAATCGAATCTCGAATACTTGAAATATATATAATTGTATACAATTTTTTTTATTGTAACTGGTTCTTTCAACGAATGAATTACTGAAAACGCAGAATACATCACTCAGACAAATTGCGAGCGTTCACACGCAATAAGAAACACGTTTTATCAATAAATCACTACAGAAAATAGTCATATGTCTTGAATGCATTGAAAAAATAAGGCTTCAATAAAAAAAAAATTAAGGAATATACGTTGACCATTGGCGATAAGAAAAAAAAATAAGATGGCGGCGATTCGAAATGCCCAGCTCTAGACATAACTCGTTGTTCTTCATTATTTTCCAAATTGTTTGCCGATGATACCAATCTCCTCGATAGTGACAAATCTCATGTAGCCCTTCAATAGAGAGTGAACACTGAAATTGCGAAAGTAGCAAATTGTATGAGAGCCAAAAAACATCGATAAATCAAAAACTATGGTAATTAATATCACCAAATAAAAGTAAAGCTCAAAATAGTCTGACAGTCCAAATTGATGATACAGAACTTGAAAATGTCAATTCATATATATATCTTGGTTTATATATAGATAACAAAATGAAGTGCATGGGACGTTCAAATATCTGACCTGGCTGTTAAATTAGCCAAGTCAGTGGGAATACTATACAAGCTTCGACATTTTACATAGCTAACCACTTTACGTATGGTCTCCTATTCTTTATTTCAATCCCATATTCAATATGGTATTGAACTCCATAACAAACCTAACTCCATAACAAACCTAAATTAAAAATGGAGAATTCTGGAGGGCAAGCAAAACCTACAAAAAAGTTTAAAACATGAAGTATCTCATGTGCCTGCCCACCAGCACGCACACCTTAGATCAACATGGCAAATATTTAACAAAATCACAAACACACATAATAAATCAAAGCAACAAGTTGAGGAAATCTGTCTGAAAAATGGCAGTATCACTAGGTTTGACTTTTCGATTTCGAACAAATTTAAGTACTTCTGAACCATTGGGTCCAGCCTCTCTGAGAAGTTTTCAAATGATTCGGGTAATTTCAAACATCTTCCCATAATCGCGTGAGCAAGTCCATTTTTATGAGTTTGGCTACCGCAAATGAACTGTTGGTAGAAATTCAAAATCTGAAGGTTAGGAAGGCAGTTGGGCCAGACAATATTCCGGCCTCAAATATGTTGCTGACCTTGTTGCTCCGTGTCTAACAGAGTTCTTTAATTGCTATCTCTCACTCAGCATATTCCCTTCATCTCTCAAAATTGAGCGGGTAATTCCTCTTTTTAAATCTGGAAACAAAAAACTTGCTTCAAATTATAGACCGATATCTATTCTTTCATCGATTGATAAAATTTTTGTTTGTACGCTCAATTCACAAGAGGCTTACTAGTTTTTTCATTAAATATGTTGTCATGAATTAATCTCTATTCGGTTTCCAAAACAGTTTTCAACATCGTATGCCATTTTGGATACTATATTTTTTATATATGACAAACTATAAAAAAAGGAGTTTGTTGGTGCAACCTTTTTAGATTTGAAGAAGAGCTTCGATACCGTAAGGCGTAAATTGAGCGGCAGATCACACAGTATGTTCAAGTAGGTACAAATCCTTTTCTTACCGGTGTTTCACGGGTTCCCACAAGGTAGTTGTTTAGGACCTCTTAGATTTTTTGTATTTATTAATGACATAACTAGGGCTGGGCATATTCGAATACCTGATGATTTCAGAATCGAATCGAATCTCGAATACTTGAAATATATATAATTGTATACAATTTTTTTTATTGTAACTGGTTCTTTCAACGAATGAATTACTGAAAACGCAGAATACATCACTCAGACAAATTGCGAGCGTTCACACGCAATAAGAAACACGTTTTATCAATAAATCACTACAGAAAATAGTCATATGTCTGGAATGCATTGAAAAAATAAGGCTTCAATAAAAAAAAAATTAAGGAATATACGTTGACCATTGGCGATAAGAAAAAAAAATAAGATGGCGGCGATTCGAAATGTCCAGCTCTAGACATAACTCGTTGTTCTTCATTATTTTCCAAATTGTTTGCCGATGATACCAATCTCCTCGATAGTGACAAATCTCATGTAGCCCTTCAATAGAGAGTGAACACTGAAATTGCGAAAGTAGCAAATTGTATGAGAGCCAAAAAACATCGATAAATCAAAAACTATGGTAATTAATATCACCAAATAAAAGTAAAGCTCAAAATAGTCTGACAGTCCAAATTGATGATACAGAACTTGAAAATGTCAATTCATATATATATCTTGGTTTATATATAGATAACAAAATGAAGTGCATGGGACGTTCAAATATCTGACCTGGCTGTTAAATTAGCCAAGTCAGTGGGAATACTATACAAGCTTCGACATTTTACATAGCTAACCACTTTACGTATGGTCTCCTATTCTTTATTTCAATCCCATATTCAATATGGTATTGTGGCGCGTGGTTCAGCAGATAAAACCTTATTGCATCGCATCGAAATTCTACAGAATCAAGCGATTTCAGATGTAGAATATGCACTCATCTTAGTCCTATTTATCGTAGACTTGGTTGATATTTACAAAATTGAAATGTTGAAATTAATGCACCATCACCACCACAACGAAAAACTTCCTCCAGCATTCACTACCTATTTTTTTAAGCAGAGTGATGTGCACTCATATGGAACACTCTTATTATGTAAATCGTTTTTCCACCAAACTCACCCAAAATAATGGTTCTCCTAATTTCTTTAGTTCCTATTACTAATTGTTGTTCTCTTCGTGATTGTGTTTTTTGGTTAATTTTCTTTGAAACTTGTTTCTTCCCTATATTTTCTGCTCAATTCAGGTATCGCTGATTAGACGACTAATTGAGTTTTTCGCGACCCCTCATCAATTGTTATGAATCAGTGTGTTCCCGTATTTTTTTATTCTTGTGTGCGTTTATTGCTTTACATTGATTCTTGCACGGTAAAATAAATATCTGAATCTGATTTTTCACTGAGAAATTTACACGGAA